GGTTACGCATCATAACAAATGTCCAAAACTAAAAAAGTTTCAGTAAAAATCCTTCCAGCTGCACAGCATCTGATACCAGAGGAAACAACCATCCAAAAACTGTGATTTACATCGAGAAAAAGAGGAATTAAAGTTTCCAAAAGCAAAATCTCAGAATGAAAGTAAGAGAGCTGCTCCAACATGCAGCCACCTGGAGCGGCGCAATTCTAGAACATTCATCCCGACTGCGTCACACTCAGCTGCGAACCGCTCCAGCGAGAGCTGTAGATCATGACCTGATGAAGCCAATAGGACCACATCATCTGCAAAAAGTAGAGACGCGATCCTAAGGCCACCAAAATGGATCCCCTCAACACCTTGGCTGCGCCTAGAAATTCTGTCCATAAAAGTTATGAACAGAATCGGTGACAAAGGGCAACCTTTGCCAGTCCGGTTTGAGTTCACCCTCCCCCATCTAACTCCTAAGTCGTGCGTTCTTGCACGTAGTAGCCGGGCCATTAACCATTTCACTGCTGCACGTTTCTGAATTAGAATCCAAGCTTGCTCTGATGTAAATGGCGGCGACCCCCCCCTCCCTTTTTCAGATGGTCAGAACGGTAGATGTTAAATCCATCAATTTCCAGATCCTTATTCCAGTTAGATCTATTCAGCCAGGATTCAGAAATGAACATTACATCAGCCCCAGAAGAACAAACCCAAATTCTCAAAGTGTGAAGATTTTTTTGAAGACTGCGTGCGTTAACATGTAAAAAATAAAGACCTGACATTTTTAAAATCATTTGGTGTGTTGTAATGTGTGGGGGGTCCAAGGTTGGGCTAGATCCCTGAGAGAAATAACAAGATTATTATTAGACATTTTTTTGTGTTGTTTGTGACAGATGTGCAATTATAGGAGTTAATAATGTAACAATTAGCCCCCATAATCGATCCATGGTGAGAAGGATTTATAAAGATGTGATTACTCAGAACCCAAAACAGTGAAGTTGGCAGGGAGAGGCAGATCCAGATGTGTTAACAAGGTTCAGTGACTCCAAATAGTCAGAGATCTGAAAATGATGAGGATGGAGCAGAAAAGTTTCAGACCAGACAGCATCATGGTTCAAATGGACCAATGAACCCAGCATGGTGGACCATGTGCAGTTTGAATTGAACTGAGGGGAGCTCCAGCTGCACCCCGATGCAGACAAATCACTCTAGCTGCTCTCATGTTGGACAGATGCTGGGTCCAGAACCAACAGGCAGAAATGGGTAATCCACATCAAAGAACAAAGCGAGCAGCCAAAAAGTCCCCTCATTCTGGAAGGCATGATCCTGGCTTGGTTCGGATCAACAGAGGTTTGATCCAGATGAGGGGAAAAAACCTTCAGGTAGAGCCCTTTGTGAGTTTAGGGTCTCTCCAAACCGAGTTCAAAGAGATAAACGATCGGTACCAACAGCGTGATCTGGAACAAATCCTTCAGCTGACCAGCTCTGAACCAGTGGTCTCGTACGGATCCAATTGTCCAATCCAATTACACAATCCTATTGCGCCGCTCCAGGTGTCTGCATGTTGGAGCAGCTCTGTTACTTTCATTCTGAGATTTTGCTTTTGGATCTTTAATTCCTCTTTTTCTGGATGTAAATCACATTTTTTTGGATGATTGTTTCCTCTGGTATCAGATGCTGTGCAGCTGGAAGGATTTTTACTGAAACTTTTTTAGTTTTGGACATTTGTTATGATGCGTAACCATGGCAACAAGGCAGTTTTCTACAACAGCAGCTGATTAACATCTCAAAAGCTGAAATAATATCTCAACTACAGCCCCAACTCTCAAATGAGTTGAAAAGGATGTTTTGTGGATGCATTCTCATCTACCAGCCAGCTGTGATCGAGTGCCTGACCACTGAGATCCTGGAACTAGCAGGAAACACGGCTCATGACAGTAGAAGGACAGGATCGTCCCTCGGCACCTACAGTTTACTGTCCACAGCTATGAGGAGCTCGGCAGACTGCTGGGAGGAGTGGCCATCGCTCTGGGAGGAGTTCTGCCCAGCATTTGGGCGGTCCTACAGCCCGGGGGAACCGAGAGGCCAGCAGAGTCTGGGTGGACGGATTGAACGGCATCTGCAGCCAGTTTCTTAGGATCCACTGTGGGATGGACCTTTACAAGAGATCCTTCCTGTCTACAGCATCAGCATCTATAACATCTCTGAATGAAATGAGGATAACGAGTTACAACAACAAATAATTTCCCTCTGGGATTAATAAAGTATTTTTGAATTGAATTGAATTGAATTGAATTAATCTAGGTAGATTCAGATGGAAGACCAGCAGAACTCTGATGCAGATGCCGGCCTTTCGTTGAGCAGCTCCTGCTCGGCGCTTCCCAGCACGAGTGGCTTCCTCCAGGTGAGCAGTGGTCAGACTGACCGTATAGGCTGGAACCATCCTTGGCTTGGTTCTGTTCTGGTCCGGTTCTGTCAGCTCATCCGTGGCCAACAGCAAACCCCATGGAGGTGGCTGGACCTTCGATGAGAAGTACTGAGCTGCTCGCTGAGGCTGAGACCGGCTCAGTCCAACAGAAAGCCAGCACAAAACCACACAGCGATCCTCATCAGAACCAAGCAGAACCACAGAGGTCTGGATGAAAAGTCTGGTTGGAGTCAGGGGAAAAAAACGCCAGACCTTTGGACAACGTCTTCCCCGCCCAAGGAGCCACCTGGTCGGCAGGCTGCGCTCGGAGTGAACGATGGGGTGGAAGCGGACCGTATGAGAAATATGAAAACAAATTTTGTCATTTAATAAACGTTTCTTTCAGTCTGGATCTTTGAGATGTTGGAAAGGAAAGAGATGCTTCAGTCAGATTCTGTTCCCTGATTGAGTTTTGTGTTACATAACATGCTCCCTGTGTTTGTGTGTGCGTGTTAGTCATCTTGCACAGGGGGCTCACCAGTTGCGTCGCATCCTCAGGGTGGTGGAGTCACGAGGGTCTCAGAGCTTCAGGAAGGTGAGTGAGCACACACACTTTCAACTGAGGCTGGCATCAAACAATAATCTGTTTTCATGTTTGATGCAAACGATCATTTAAATGAAGTTTTTATTTTATTATCAACTGAAATGAATTTTGTTCTTGTCTTTATTCCTGTAATGATTATTACTCAAGTGTTTATGTCAGAATTCTCCTGAAGGTGTCTCCAGTTTTCTCTGTCAAGATTCAGAAACTGAGTCCTGTTGCTGGTTCAAATAATTTGTGCAACAAAGAAATCTGAAGCTTCGGGCCCAAATGTCTGTCAAGAGTTAGACACTGGTCCAAGTCTGTCTGTTAGCCTTCAGTGTTCGAATAAAACATCAACAGAGTCTTTCAAACTGTTGCTTCCTCAGTGTGCAGCCATGAAGCTGGCCCAGGTGCTGCTGAGCTCCGTGAGCGAGGATAGCTACTGGCTCCCACTGGGCCCCCCTCCTGCATCCTGGCTCACCAGAGAGGGGGCTGCTGCCTCCAAAGACGCCCTCTACCCCACGGTCAAACCACCACAGCGTTACAGCACATACTGGTTAGTTTCTGAGACATTTTGTCTTTCAGTCTGCTTTAGTCCTGGCAGATCTCTGCTGCTGTCTGTTCAGCTTAGTGCAAATGGTTCAGGTGGTTAAAATGGTTCAGTTTGGGGTTTAGATGCTTTAAGTGTTTCAGATGCTTCAGAGGGTTCTGATTATTCAGAGGGTTCAGATGGTTCAGGTGGTTCAGATTGTTCAGGTGGTTCAGATGGTTATAATGGTAAGATAATTAATGTTATTAACTTACTTTTTATATATATGATTGTCTTTGCTCAGTGCCCAGAGATGACTTCTGTTGTGATATGGCGCTATATAAATAAACTGAATTGAATTGAAAAATTGAATGGTTTAAGTGGTTCAAGTGGTCCTGATTATGGTTCAGAAGTTTAAGGTATTTCAGATGGTTAATGTGGTTCAAGTACTTCAGGGGCCTCAGATGGTCTAGATGGTTCAGGTGTTTCAGGTG